CTGTTTTTGTTCTTATTCTTGGATAGTTGTTTTTTGCGTATATGTTGTTTCCACAACACGATAAGCATATCGATTTGTTCTGCGATTTATTTACCTCTGTTGCTTATTTATGCACTCACGAAGAACACGTTCAAAAAAATTTATTGTAATAACTGAACGCTATTGCATGGTTGAAAATACAAAAACCGAATACAGTGGCAGAAAATATATATTGGACCAGATTATCCCCAACCATACATCATTGGGTATCCCCAACCGTAATAACGCCACGGTCGTCGCCATCCCCAACCCCATCCTCCATAGCCCCATTGTCTCTTCACTCGAAAACTTGAAGCACTTCTAGAAAAGTTTGTTTTCTCGCACTATATTGTCTGCTAAAACTGACACTCACTCGTAATCAGGTGCAAACTCTTCCACGGCTGCTGCATTGGTATAGATAAGAAGTAGGACAATCACGAGAAAGATTGTTAAATTCATTCCAAAGACGGTCATCCTAGAATTTGAGTATCAGCCAGGTGAAAGTATAGGGCTCTAAAATTTAGTAAAGGCTATCCAATAATGAATCGTGAACCTAGCGTGAAAAGCACCCAAGAAGGGAAGATTTGCTGAAGTTTAAAATCGACAGTAACAGCCTTGGAAGACAACAGTAAATACTTTTCATCTCTGCTTTCATGAATTGGAAAAGTGAAAACATACGACTGAAACTTTGAGGATAATTTATTTTAAAATTTTTTAAAGCCTTTCTCGAATATAGCGATAGGGATGAAACGTGTTTGCAGTGGGTGATATCATCATTTTTAGGAACCGAAAAGCTACAAGTAATGGCTATTGCACTATTACAACTAAAGAACTTAGAGATAGAGAAACTGCATATCGGCAGTCCTTTTCTGCTTTAAGTACTCACCGAATTAGTGAGAAGACGTTCCAAATAAGTTTTTCTACCTGTACTTGAGCATCCATGACGATATCAAGTCTTCGAACAATGTTCAAAAAGAATTTGCATGTGATAAAATTGAGAAGTACAGCGAATAGGGTAGAACCTTTTCTAAATAACACTACTTTTCGAACCTGTTTGGCAAACGGATTGTAATGTTTTACATGGTTCATTCATTATTCTCACATCTGCTTGCTGGGGTGTAGTTATAAAAATCGATGTCGGCGATGTTTTCTACAGCGCATAAGGCACAATTTCAAACAACGGCGCGATACTATCCATATTTGGATTTGTTATGTAACTTTTTGTTCGAGTATACGCAGTTTTCAAAATAGGGCTTTTATACGTGCACATATGATTATAAAGATGCGTATTTGAACAAGAGGTGGAGTGCCAGCTTTGAATAGCAGACATCTTAACATTTAGAAAAGCTTTCGCATTTCAAAGAGAGTTAATGTATAAAAAGCATAGTAATTACATAGAAATTACTATGTAACAAATAGCTAATGAAAAATGAAGTCGCTTTTTTGTCAGGATCACGTATCAAGTCACTCAATGGTGTCTTGAGGCGCCTGAACTATTGTGATTTTCTATTAAGCTTGAAATACGTTTTGGGTGCGAAATCATACTGTATGATCCCTTGCTTTAACGACTTATGCCCTACAAATGGCTCTACATAAGCTGCGAAAATGCTTATGTTGTCTAGACATCGATTTTTTTCGCAACTTTAAAGGCTTGAGGCTGAGCTGCACTAAGACTATAACCGAGATTGGGCAGTTTCACAAAGGGAGTACGTCCTTGTGCAGAAACGAAGCAGAATTCGCACAACGAATTCGCTGGAAATGACCCATCGTAAGATCAAGAATGCAAATGAGCTTCATTAATGCTGGC